ATGTTTTATCAGATTAGTTTTCCTATTTCGTTTTACTATGCTTAATTTTGAAACATTTCTATATATATAAACCTCCTTATCTCTATGACTTAAGCTAGCCAATGCTGTCACTGCTATAAATTGACTTAAGTTATGATTGTTACTATTATTAAGCTTCTGCCAGCCTCTTGATAATAATACAAGTTTAATTCTAAACTAGATATAACTACATTTTGATTTTGTCAATCCCAAGCTTACACTAGCAATGGAGTATAAGATATTTTGGTGTAGTTCATAAATTTTACTGTGCAAATATTAATTCATTTCCAAAGGTCAAAGGTAAAAAGTTTTAAAACTTAATTGAAACCAGTTTTAAGGTAATTAATTAATTGGCAATTTTAATATTTTTTAAATGATTTAATATGTTGGAATATTTATTTATAAAGGCAATTTAAAGGATTTGTTTATATTAAATCATGTAGATTTATATGTAAAAATTTTGCCAATTTAATTTGCTTAGGTATTAAATTTGGAAAATTTGTTACTGTTTTTTCCTTACATGTTGTAATTATATTGATTTTATGATTTAAGATTTGTTATTAATGTAGTGAATCTAATGATTTATGACCTAATATTTGCTAATTACCGGTACACTGATGTAACATATATTATATAACTATATTTTACAGAGCAGGATGTATTTTGGTGTCTTATGAGTTAATCTCAATGTATTACCCTGCTTCTGGGTTAACTATAATCTGGGAAAATGGAAACAATTAGCATTGTAAATTTGTCCTCTTGTTTTTCTCTTGACATTCATTGATTTATAGTGACAGAGACATTATAGGCCTGATCTTTTATTGAATGCTTTTAAATTCTAAATAAACAACATCCTCCTGGTGAAAGATAAAATTTGTGAATGGATTTTCTTTAAAGTGACTTTAATGGTCAGTTTCGATTTTTATAAGTTTTTATTAATGTCATAAAAGTTTAGGAGCAGATTGTAAGACATTTTAACTGTCATTTAATGATACTTTGTTAGTAGATATATTTATTATGAGCAAATGTTTTAAATGAGATATATGATGATTTAGTCCTGTCAACCTTGCTGTTGTCAAATATAAAAAGAAATCAACCTTAAATTTGTTATTTAAGATATATATATTTATCATTCTTAATAAGGCAAGAAGTTTCATTAAAGTATGATGATTTTGATGATTATACTCTTGCTTCGTATGGTATTAGTCAATAACAGAAAGATGCAGTTGCATCATACAATTTCTGTATCAGATTTGAACTGATCATCAAATAATATCAGGTAACAAACACAAGATGATTGTGTAGAAGCTGTAGACCAACTCAGCTAAAACATTTAAATATATATATACATGCATAAATTATACTATAAGGCAATGCAGGTATGTGCACACTTATGCCAAACATTGGACTTGTATTGTTTCTCATAATCAACATTGACCTCCTTGACTGAGTGGTTTAAATCTGGTTGCTGACTTCAAGACGCCTGGTCCTCAAATATTGCCATAGGGACTTGAGATTCCTTCTTCTTCTAGATGGCTGTTCATACCTGAAATTTATTCATGAAATGGCATGTCATACTCCTGCCATCAGTAAAGCTGGAGAGTTGCGTTATATTATTCAAACCCAACTAAACAAACATAATAAGCAAGATGCATAATCTCTGAAATTTGCACTAGCACAATTATGGTAAATATTATTGTTCTGGCTTGAATACAAATTGTATTCTGTAGAAATATTTTTTCACCAATTCAATCCATAAAGTGTATAAATGAACAAGTTTGTAGACTTCATCCTGCATTCTTTATATTGTAAGAGCCAGACTTGACTGTTTAATTGTATAAAACAAATACTTGCCCAGCAAGAGATAATCTCCAGTGGAAAGAATGTTCATAAAGCCCTCTTCCATCATGAAGTTTTTATTGCACAACTCATAAACTGAGCCCACTGAGTGGGTATTGTATATTTGATGTAATTAGGCATTGCTAACCTTTTCCATATGAGATATTACAACTCGTAAACATTAAGTAGTCATAAAGATCTCCATAAACGGCCTACTGAGCATGTTACTTTTACAAACAAGTCGCTGCAGACCTTTCAATAATAACCTATGACTTTCTGACATGGTTTGAAAACATTGCTATTTCATTGTTACTTTATATAGGTGGATATTATTAAGTCTTCTTTTACCGGGAGACTATGTAAATACTGACTTTTAAAAAAAACATTATTGTTGACAATAACAACAATCTTTTAACTCTGCCATTGCCATTTAAAACTCTAGCAACCTTCTAAGTCTGTAGACCTTTTAAAACCATTGCCATTTAAAACTCTAGCAACCCTCTAAGTCTGTAGACCTTTTAAAACCATTGCCATTTAAAACTCTAGCAACCTTCTAAGTCTGTAGACCTTTTAAAACCATTGCCATTTAAAACTCTAGCAACCCTCTAAGTCTGTAGACCTTTTAAAACCATTGCCATTTAAAACTCTAGCAACCTTCTAAGTCTGTAGACCTTTTAAAACCATTGCCATTTAAAACTCTAGCAACCCTCTAAGTCTGTAGACCTTTTAAAACCATTGCCATTTATAACTCTAGCAACCCTCTAAGTCTGTAGATCTTTTAAAACCATTGCCATTTAAAACTCTAGCAACCTTCTAAGTCTGTAGACCTTTTAAAACCATTGCCATTTAAAACTCTAGCAACCCTCTAAGTATGTAGGCCTTTTAAAACCATTGCCATTTATAACTCTAGCAACCCTCTAAGTCTGTAGACCTTTTAAAACCATTGCCATTTATAACTCTAGCAACCCAGTTAGATTGCAGATGTTTTAAATGCAGTGCCATTTATAAATGTAGCAGCCCTGTATGCCTACATCATACTTTTCAAAACTATTGTCATTGATCTCTAAGTCTACAGAATTTTTAAACCATTGTCATTGATAACTGTAGCAGCCCTGCAAGTCTGCAGAATTTTTAAACCATTGTCATTGATAACTGTAGCAGCCCTGTAAGTCTGCAGAATTTTTAAACCATTGTCATTGATAACTGTAGCAGCCCTGTAAGTCTGCAGAATTTTTAAACCATTGTCATTGATAACTGTAGCAGCCCTGCAAGTCTGCAGAATTTTTAAACCATTGTCATTGATAACTCTAGCTGCCCTGCAAGTCTGCAGAATTTTTAAACCATTGTCATTGATAACTGTAGCAGCCCTGCAAGTCTGCAGAATTTTTAAACCATTGTCATTGATAACTGTAGCAGCCCTGTAAGTCTGCAGAATTTTGAAACCATTGTCATTGATAACTGTAGCAGCCCTGCAAAAAGGCTGCAAGTCTGCAGAATTTTTAAACCATTGTCATTGATAACTCTAGCTGCCCTGTAAGTTTGCATTTATATGTTTTATTAAATTCATTGCCATTTATAAGTAGCAGTCCCAGTATTATCTGCAGATTGTTTTCTGTTTCCATTTATAATTATAGCAGCCCTGTGTTCGTCTCTATTGCCATTTAATGACTATAGCAGCGCTGCAGACTTTAAAAACATTGCTATTCATGACTTGTAACTCCTTTTATGTAATGAACGGATGCTTCATTGACTATTGGAGCTGTGGTCTGGTGGGCAAGAAAGGCACTGAAAACTTTGAATTTCTGTTAATGAAGGCCACTCATAATGGATCATGTCCTTTTCAATTTATCATTGCTTTGTAAATGACTTTGGTTTGTAAAATGAATCTCTAATGAGAATGATAATATATGGAGACTGGTGAGCTGTGTGGAAGAGATGTATACTTTAGTACATCCAGTGATTACCATATTGATCTATATACTCCTATTTCTTTTATGCAAATATTTCCAATGAAATAAAGTATATTACTGAAATAAAAGAAAGCTAACCAGATGGGTTTGATAATAAGATAGTTAGATATTTGAGGCTAGCTAGCTGTGTTCAACTTGTTTTTATAAAACTATTTCTTTAACTTGTCTGTGTTAAAACATATAGCTAGCAGATATTCTGTAAGATGATAGTGGATTAGGTATTAGAACATAAAAACAGTGTAGCTGCTGCTAAAAGTTAATAATGGAGTGTTTCCCACTTACCTTGGCTCTCCCGTGAAGAGTTAGAGGTTTTCTATTTCATAAAATTTATATTAAAAAGAGAAATTTGTAGAGCTTTATGTTTCCTGTAATTTGTAGACTTTGTAAAACTATATTTTGTATATGTACATGAAGAGTGAAATTTCTTAGAAAATCATAAAAGAGGTTTATATTTCCAGCAAATATTAGATAATTTTATAGTTTTGTATTCTTGTGTGAATTCTTTGTATGATTTAATATTAGAGCATATTTCTTTAAGCCTCACAAAATGTGTGTAATGTTTTGATTTTGGAAAGACTATTCATTGTACATATTAAGTAATATTTCAATATCAATTTTCTTTAAATGTGCATTAAACTGTATACGGTATGTTAAAAGTCAGGATGGAGTTAGTCTTTTCTTGATATGGACAACATTATATATAAGGTCTCTCATTGATGACCACTGCTTATTGCTCTATGGACAGCAGCTTTTAGGTTAAATAGATATTCTTTTTCTTAATTGTACAATTATAAATTAAATGTTTATCTGATATTCTAAATGTTACAAATCACTGCAACATCTTTATTATAGATCAAAGACATTTGTTTTAATTAAATAACTACTTATGGTTACTTATTATTTACTTTTGAACATTTTGAGTTTTTTAACTTGTATTTAAGCCATATGTTGTTGTTATGATTAATCTTTTGAAAGATTTAATGATACAGACAGCTGATAGCCAGGTATTGGAAAATAATGAAGATATGTTCAAGATGTAATAACATACTGACCATAAGTAAGTTGTTATGAGGCAATTTATTACCTGGTACTAGAATAGTTGGTAGAGGGTATGATATTATTAGTGGGCCAAGGATGTATTGATCGGTGGAGATTTATTACCAGCACTTACATACATCTCTCAATTTATGACTGTATATGATACAAGATAGAGAAGGGGAGGATTTGTGATGTATGGAAATTAAGGCTGACAAATTAGTGGGAAAGTAAAAAGAAATTAGTTGAAAGTAAAATTGTGGATATATATTTTAATTGGTAATTCTCTCTTTGCTTCATTTTATGGAATTAGCTTATCTCTGACAGGTCAGAAAATGTTTTCATGTTTATTGGCGGCAATAGAAATGGCTGAGTTTTATTTCACTGACTTAAATGGTTTGATCGATTGAAAGTGCTAATGTGGTTCCCTTCTAAATGAGACAATAATTTAATGAAGGAAGATTTACACAGTCTGAGAGTCTCTGTAAATACAGTTTGCCGTTAATTCTTCTTGCTTGTTTTTCAAGCCCAGTAATCCTATAAACACTATATTTGTATTCTTTCTTTAAAGTAGACAATGTTTTTTCCCTCTTTTATTTATCTGTATACAGGGCTCGAATTTAACACTCGCAAACTAGCAAAATGCTAGTTGAAAAATGATTTTGCGAGTTAGATTTATGACAACTCGCAATTTTTTGCGAGTTGAAGAAAAAACGGAATACACTTGTCAGGAAAATCGGGCGTAATATTCGCAAGTACCAAGTATTCGCCAAGTTATAAACTATGCGCGCACTTGCTGTCTGGTTTACATTTTCTATACCTTAACCTCGGTTAAAAACGTAGACAAATTTAAACCAGTCCAAATGTCATTTTGTCCGTGTAAATCAAGCGTGATCGGAATAATATGTCTAAACAAAAAATAGCGACTTGACTTCCCACTTACTGAAGCAAATGTGTCTTCAGATAACAATACTCTGAGTACAGAAGATGATTCACAGTCTATCAAAAGAAAGACAATCAGACCTTCAGTTTAAACGGTTAAAAAATGGGAGAAAGAACTGCACGTCAGTCTTGCGTACGAACTCGATGACGATGGAAATGTTGCCAAAATATTTTGCACCGATTGTTGTGCGCATAATCCAGACTAGACATTGTCGGTATGGCGACAATATTGCATTATTATTTTTTTACAGGTAGATTGACATTTGATAAGAATCCTTGTCCCCTAAATCAAGTTTTTGAGTAGAAAGTTACGTTGCTGATTCGTACCCCGGGCAGTTCGAACTCGTCCAAATAAATTACAATTTTAATTTTGTTATTCTCTATATCCAGCAACAACTTTGTCTTTCAGCAAATCAAATAATTAAACTTAAAAATGAAGTATTATAATTTTTTCATGCCCAATTTCATGATTAAGTCAGCTGTTTATGCAGAAATAAAAAAATATCTTTCATATCAATCATGTTAATTTAATCATTTATTTCAGTGAGTTAAAATATAAGATAGTTTTATTCTTTATTTTGAGTTGTTCCAACATGACAATTGAGATACAACAATTGAATGAACTCAAGTTATAACAAACTACTGTAAATTCATGTGTTGTACTACAACATTTATTAATAAAAACATTTTCAATAAAATTCATTATTATGATACATAATTGTAACAACAATTAATTAATTATTATGGTACATGATAATTCAAACAATTAATGAATGTACACAAAAGTTTAAACAATTTTGGAATTAAAAAATCATTGTCGTAAAAATTGCTAGTTGAATTCAGTTTTTGCTAGTTAAAAATTTGTCCACTAGCAAAAAATTGCTAGTGGCCAAAAAAGTTAAATTCGAGCCCTGAATACACTGCCAGCAAACTAATAGAGATTTATGCTCTCAGATTACAATGTTTGACAGTTGATGAAGAGAAACATTTATATTTTTTAAATAAATATGTCATACTCAAAGTTTGAGTATAATTAAGGGTAATCATGTCTCCCTGCTCTCAGATAAATGAGTTACCCCATGCTAAATAAGATAAACTAACTACCATAAATTAATTTGTCTTAATACTGGCATATTTTGTTTTCTAAGGAAATTAATGATTTTGTAATGAAATGTTAATGTGTTTATGATTATATTTTATTATTAATAAGTATTTATTATATAATTATAAACTGTTAACTTTTTTTTTGGAGATATTATTGTCATTTATGTCAGCTCATTTTAAATAGAATAAATGGAACCAATCTTTTGAGTATTTATGAATGCAAGAAACTACATGTATGATAACTGTCAGTTTTAATACCAAATGATATCTTACAAACAACAATTACTGGGGGAAAAAATATTAGCTGACTACAATGCTTCATTTAACATCAATGTAGCTATAATTTGTTCACATAAGTTAGTGATATATTTCATATATGAAATCAATATGATGTAGTATCAGTATATATACTGTATTGTCCAGGTTTATCAACCTTGATATAGCAAGTTTATTATGGACATTTCTAATATTGATTGAATTTCTACCATATGTGCTGTCAGGGCTCGAATTTAACTTTTTTGGCCACTAGCAATTTTTTGCTAGTGGACAAATTTTTAACTAGCAAAAACTGAATTCAACTAGCACTTTTTACGACAATGATTTTTTAATTCCAAAATTGTTTAAACTTTTGTGTACATTCATTAATTGTTTGAATTATCATGTACCATAATAATTAATTAATTGTTGTTACAATTATGTATCATAATAATGAATTTTATTGAAAATGTTTTTATTAATAAATGTTGTAGTACAACACATGAATTTACAGTAGTTTGTTATAACTTGAGTTCATTCAATTGTTGTATCTCAATTGTCATGTTGGAACAACTCAAAATAAAGAATAAAACTATCTTATATTTGAACTCACTGAAATAAATGATTAAATTAACATGATTGATATGAAAGATATTTTTTTATTTCTGCATAAACAGCTGACTTAATCATGAAATTGGGCATGAAAAAAATTATAATACTTCATTTTTAAGTTTAATTATTTGATTTGCTGAAAGACAAAGTTGTTGCTGGATATAGAGAATAACAAAATTAAAATTGTAATTTATTTGGACGAGTTCGAACTGCCCGGGGTACGAATCAGCAACGTAACTTTCTACTCAAAAACTTGATTTAGGGGACAAGGATTCTTATCAAATGTCAATCTACCTGTAAAAAAATAATAATGCAATATTGTCGCCATACCGACAATGTCTAGTCTGGATTATGCGCACAACAATCGGTGCAAAATATTTTGGCAACATTTCCATCGTCATCGAGTTCGTACGCAAGACTGACGTGCAGTTCTTTCTCCCATTTTTTAACCGTTTAAACTGAAGGTCTGATTGTCTTTCTTTTGATAGACTGTGAATCATCTTCTGTACTCAGAGTATTGTTATCTGAAGACACATTTGCTTCAGTAAGTGGGAAGTCAAGTCGCTATTTTTTGTTTAGACATATTATTCCGATCACGCTTGATTTACACGGACAAAATGACATTTGGACTGGTTTAAATTTGTCTACGTTTTTAACCGAGGTTAAGGTATAGAAAATGTAAACCAGACAGCAAGTGCGCGCATAGTTTATAACTTGGCGAATACTTGGTACTTGCGAATATTACGCCCGATTTTCCTGACAAGCGTATTCCGTTTTTTCTTCAACTCGCAAAAAATTGCGAGTTGTCATAAATCTAACTCGCAAAATCATTTTTCAACTAGCATTTTGCTAGTTTGCGAGTGTTAAATTCGAGCCCTGGCTGTGGTAAGAATTTTATTCATATCTATTTGTTAATATCATTTCTTTTTTGCTTTACTTCGTTGAAAAATAAAAGGATTAAGTCATAAATTTGTATTTTTGAAGCATGATGAAGTCACTGGGGAAGTTTCTTGCCTGGATATTAAAATGTCACTTTTCATGATTATTGATTGCAAATGTTTAAGTTCGTTGAACCATGGTGAGAGACAAGTTAATATTAAAATATCATGTTTTATGTATAAAAGCTACACCAAGCATGGTCATTGTTGTTTTCTTAATTGACACTACTCTAATTGCTACTAATTGGTTTAGTGATCAAGGTCCCCTGACTTAATTAGTTTGCAAGCCCCTTGCATAGTAAACAGTCTTTCAGTTGTGACATATTCACATCAGCTACACATTATGTTTTGGGAGAGTCGAGTTTTCCAGATACCTAACATGAAAAAATCATTAGTTAGTTCTACCAAAGTGTAAAATATGTATGGATGGGCACCTTGGTATCCAGTAAATGTTGATAGATAGTCATATATGACCTGATGTAGTGTCCCTAGAGTACAGTATCAGCAGTATGTTACCATTCACAAATCATTCTCCTCAGTAGTGAATGTGATTTACTCTAAAATTAACCCATTCATCAAAAATGATCATTGCAGAAATCACAGATGCAGAGCTGTTTTAGAATTGCTTAATATTGATGGGTATGAAAATAAAATGGGTAAAAATGCTTCTCATATTTCACACACAGGCATTGGAGAAAGACAAAAGGCAATAACATTGACTAGAAGTTCTCCCATTTATACAATATTGCTATATCCATAGTTGAAACGAAAATGCATCACTGCAGTTAAAATTTGTGATTTCAACTGTAGCAATGCTAAATTATCTGTATAGAACTAAGATGATGGAAAGTAATCTGTTCAAACTTATAGATATGCTAAGAATCAACAACTTTTCAGTCCTTAAAACATGTAAATAAGTTATTATGAATAAATTCCTTGAAATAATTGAACCATTTTATTTTTATGCCCCTGAAATGTGGTACATAGTTTTTGAATTGTCTATCTTTCTTTCCATCTGTCTGTGCAGAAATACATAGGCAAAGCTATAGGAAAAATAGGTGACAGTAAATTTCCTTTTATGCTGTTCATTCAGAAAGCTCTGCTGTGACTATTTTTACTGTTACATGGCTGAGAGAACTATTGGAAGAACAATTTTTTTTTTTAAGATCAGCCACATTAATTCCAAAATTTGAGGATGTTTGTCCACATTTTGTTCTGCCTTTCATATCCATGGATTGATCTACCTTTATAGTGAATTGCCCTGGTATGTTTTGTCATCAATTCTGTCATTCTTCTTATTTTATTGAAGTATTTTCATCTAAATCCAAGTCTTTGAGGGGAAAAATGAACCTGAATTTATTTCAGTTCATATAAGGACTTACAGGGCATTTTAGTTCATAAATGATAGATTTAGGGCAATAAGGAGTG